AGCCCGGCCCTTTTCCTCCTCCACATTCCACCAGGCTTCCCAGGAAGCCCCTATTCCCACCACCACTCGCCTCCCAGCCTCAGCAGCCCAGCTCCCTCTGGCCCTGCCACTCTGGCCCCTCACACCCTCAAGGCCAGGACAGGGACCGCCTGCTCCAGGAAGCCCTCCTTGCTTCTCCTCCAGACTGCGTGTCCCAGGCTCCGGCGCACCAACAGGCAGGGCCCTCTTCCTAACAGCACACGCCTTTTCTCCCAACGAGGGCAGAGGCTGTGGCTGAACAACACCCAAGTTCGGTGGCACTTGTGTGTGAGAGGGTCCTCGTGCACTGAATGGAGACACAGGGACGGATGAATGATTCATTCACCCCCATTCATAAGTTCAATAGATCTTTCACGGCAGGGCCTTCTGCTCTGTGCCCGAGGGAAACGGGTCAATATGGATGGGCTGCCTGGCGGCCTGGCTGGAGGAGCCTCTTGTGCTACGGAGCTCAGGCTCGGGAGCCAGGCTGGCGCGGCGCTAAGCCCAGCTGTGCAGCCTGCTGCTGTGTGACCGGGGGCGAGTTGCTTCGCCTCTCTGAGCCTGTAAAGTGGGGATAACAACAGTACCCACCACACAAGCCTGTTTAGGGGACTGAGTTATCCAGGCAGCGCATTCAGGACGGCACAACGTCAGTGCTCCGTGTGCTAGCTAGGAATGTGATTTTCGTGTTTACTAGCGTGAGTCTCTTTTCTGGACCTCCCAGCAGAGGAGTCCCAGCCTGACCCTGGTTCACCCCTCAGAATCCAGCTGCCCTCACCTCAGAACCATGGTAACTAGGGCCTAGAAAATAAAAGACGCTGACTCTGACCACATGACCCCTCCGTAAGACCCCCCCACACCCCGCCTGGAAAGCCAGTGCTGTGGGTGGGGTGGGGCAGGAGCCCCGAGTCCGCATCCCTCGCAGCCTCAGCCGCACCTGGATCTCCAGCTGCTGCACCACCTGCATCTGCACCCGGCACTGGGCCGTGCTCCGGTCGTCCAGGGCGTGCTCCGTGTTGAGGTGTCTTCAGGGGGGGGAGGAGGGGGGAGAAGAGAGAGTTGGCCCTGGGCTTCCTGCTATCACCACCCTCCCAGCCCATCCTCCCAGCCCGCCCACAGCCTGGAAAGCAGACAGACCCAGAGATACAAAGAAGGGAAGGGGGTGGGGGGAAATGGGGCAGAGGAGGAAGCCGCCTTCTCATCACCCTCCTTTGATGTCTTTGCTAAAATCCCAGCTACAGAGAGATCTAATTGCAAATGAACTAATTAAGTAAACCTCTGACGAAGCGTGAAAACAATTTGTTTGACCCTGATGCTGCAAGGGTCTGGGAGACAGTGGAGTTAATCAGTCAGTGACAGAGCCTGGCACGGCTGTGGCAGCTGGCCGCCTGCTGCCAGCCGCCTGTCTGCCTCCTGCCCTGCCTGTCCACCGGCCAGGCCTGTCACTGGGCCATCACTCTTGGGGGCTGAAGCTGGGGGAGGTGGGGGGGGAGTCCTCTCCTTCTCCCTCGCCCCGCCCCCCTGCTGGGCCGTGCAGCCTGGGACAAGGTGGGGAGCCTGGGGATTCAGGCTGGGCAGGCGGGTAGGAGAGAAGAGGAGATATGTGATGAGGACAGAGGAACTAGGTTCCCCTGGGGAAGCACAGCAGAACAGCTGGTGGCTGAAGGCTAGGGGGCAGGCTGGGGGGAGGGACCCTGTGGAAAGGCTCCTTGGGAGGGGGAGGGCCGGGGGCAGGGGGGGGGGGAGGCGGGAAGGAGAGCAGGTGACACCTACTTGATAAACTGGCCCAGGTCTTCACACAGGGTCTCACAGCCAGGCCACTTGCACTCCCCGTGTCCATAGAGAGGGTGGGAACCAGGGGTCTCCTCATGGGAGGAGCTAGGGGAGGGGATGAAGGTGGTGGTCAGGGACCCTGAAGACGCCAGCAACCCAGCCCCAGCTCCCCTGCTGGTGGCGTGTCTGTGCTTAACACAGGTTTCCCAGAAACCCAGCACAATTCTGTGTCCTGGGAGAGAGATACACTCCCAGGTCCCTGGGCGCCCCTCCCTCCCAGCCCCCACGCTGTATGCCATCCCCGGAGGCCCGGGGGTGTCCCGGTCTGCAGCACCCCTCCCTAACGTCCCAATACCTGTCTCTCCGAGGTGTGAGCACAGTGGGCTGTCCGTTGGGCAAGGTGTGGTGGGAGAGCGGGGGTGAGACTTTGGGGGGGGCGGCGAACGAGGTAGCGGTGGTGGCCGTGCCAGTGAGGTCCAGCCCCTCCTGCTTGACACTGTCCTCAGCGGGCTGCCCGGGGGCACCCTCGCCCTTCCACAGCTGGGGCAGGTCTGTCGGGCACACGGCTGCTGTGGGAGAGAGTGGGGAGAGGGGGCAGGGCCTCAGGGACACAGGAGCCTTTCCATCTCACCCCTGGGAGCCAGTGATGCCAGCCCTTGGGTGCACTGAGGGCTGCGGGCAGGGCTGGGGGGGGGGGTAGGGAGGGGGAGCCACTCACCTTGTGGAAGGGTCTGGAGGGGCCCCGAGGCTTGGCTGGGCTGCAGGCTGACCAGCCCCTGTCTCTGCAGGTTGAGCAGGTGCTGCTGCTGCAGCTGTTGCATTTGCAGGAGCTGCTGCTGGAAGGCCAGCTGCTTGTTCCCCAGTGCCTGGTGGGGGGCCCGAGGGGGTGCGCAGAGAGGGGTGCCATCAGCCTCTGGTGCACCGTCTGGCCCCCACCCTGAGGTCACCCCCTCCCAGGGCCTCTCAGCCCCCGGGGCTGTGGGTGCAGTGTCTGAGGCCGCGGCGTCTCTGCTCCCGGCCCAGCTTCCATAGGGCTGCATGCCTGCTCGCAGTAAACACACGCATGCACGCACGCACGCAGGCGCGCAAACACAGCCAGACCCAGCCGCGCAGCACGACGCCTCCCTGCTCCCGCCTCCCTCCTTCTGCTGCTGAGCGCCTGCTCCAGCTCCCGCACCGCAGCTGTGCGCGCCTGGGGGGGGGGGGGGCGCTCTCATCACAATGATCGATGAGCCTGTCAAAATCCAGGGGCCACTCCTGCTGGCAGGCACCCTTCCCACATGCCCGGGGTGCCCCCCTTCTGATCACGAGGAGGGGCCTTCTCCCCTCCACCTCCTCTCTGGCTTCTTAGATACTGAGAATCACAGAGTCTGACGGGACTTTGAAAGATCAGCATCAGCTGGTCAGTAGGACCCAGGCTCAGGGAACAGTCCTATCCCTGCTGCTGGGGGCACACGCAAGTGCTCTCTCGCTCTCTTCCCCCCTCAGAGTCAGTTTTTCACACAGGCACTGACAAGCCAGGCTGTCGGCAAGTGTTCCAAGCCCATCCGGGGTGCTTGGGAGGCAGGGCCCGCTCCCCTGCCTGCCTGCCTGCCTGCCTGCCCTGGGGGTGGGGATGGCTGGGCAGTAAACCCAGCCTGGAGGTAATTCAGAGAATGCAGCAATTACAAGGCCCCTGAGGGGGGGCTGAAGCCTGGGGGACTGCCTGGATGTCAGCAGGGCAGCCTTCCGGGAAGAGGCAGCTCAGAACCTGGTTGTGGTGTGGCCAGCAAGAGGGAGGCACATGTCTGGGACAAGGAGGACAGGGCAGCAGGGCCTGATGTGGAAGCTCAGAAGGCCCTGGGGCCCAGAAGGGGCAGGGGTGCAGGCTGGAGCTCTCTAAGGAGGGAGCAGAGCCGGCTCTTACAAGAAGGAACAGAAGTTGGGGTGGGGCTGGGGCTGGGAGGCAGGGGCAAGTGGTTTGCTGAGCAACTAAACGATTCTCAGGACCAGAGAGGAGGCCTCAGGTGCTGCGTCAAGAAGAGACAAGTGGGCAGGAAGAGGGCATGACAGCCAGACAACTGGTCATGCATGTGGACCATGTGACACTCTTACACGTGTCTACATGCATGTGCAGAGACGACAGAGGGCTGACTTCCTGTTCTCATTTACCAACAACGCAAGGCAGGGGGAGGACCGAGTGGGGATGAGGGGCAATGGAGAACTGTGAGCCCCTTCCCTGTTCCCCAGGCTTTTCCTGACTTTCCCACTGCGCCCACCAGGCACTTCTCTCGGAACACCTGGGGACTCCCCGCCTCTGGCCAGGACGGTCTGGGCTGCGGGTGATGGGCAGGGACCTGCCTGAGCCCCTTACCTCTTTGGGTTGCTGCTTCCCAGCCTGCTGTTGGGTGAGGAGCTGCAAGTGGAGCTGTTCTTGCTGCTTCTTGTAATATTCCTGCAGCTGCGGGGTGGGAGGCGGGGGAGAGTGCATTAGCAGGGGCAGCGGGTTGCTGACCCCAGCCCAGTGGTGGCTCCTGCAGGCAGGAGTGGGGAGCCTTCCTGGGGCAGTGGGACCCGGGGCCCGGCAGGGAGACTTCTGCTGAGAGAGGCTCCGTGAGTGGGGAAGCGAGAGGGAAGTTTCATCCTGCACCGGCCAGCCCGCCCTGCCTCTGGGTGGGTCCCCTGAATAAGTCAGAGTGCTAGGAGCCAGGATGTTCCAGCACTTTGCCTTCCCAGGGGTTCTGGAGGCAGGTGGGCCAAGGCACTGCTCTCTGAGAGGCCTGACCTCTGACCTCCCCCACTGCCCTGGAGGAATGCAGATCAGTCCGGCCTGAGCAGTCTCTCTGGTTTCTGCCACTCTGTGATGTTGGTAGTAAACAGACCTGGGGGGGGGGTGGGGCGGGGGGGAGGAGGGCACTGGCCTCCACTTCTCAGCTGCCCTGGGGCTAGGGCTAGACTCACCTGCTGGAGCATGAGCGCCTGTTGCTGCTGGAGCAAGGCCTGCAGCTGTGGGGGCGACAGGATCTGCTGCATCTGCTGGGGGGTGAGCATCTGCGGCGACATCATGGCCACCGACACGGGCACCTGTGGGATTCGGCCCTGTCAGCCTGCTCACCTCACCCCACGCCAGGGAGGGCAGGCACCCAGGCCCCACCCACAGTACGGCAGAGCGGCTCCAGAGGGAGATGCCACCCACTAGCTGGGTATCTGTGGACAGTGGCTGGCTCCGTTTCCTTGTTTGTGCAATGGAGGCGGCAACAGCGCCTGCCTCGTAAGGTTGTCGCCGGACTAATGAGTTAACGCTCGGAAGAGAGCCTGGCACCCCGGTGTGCGGACCACGGCTGCCTGGTAAACGCAGGAAGATGAGACCCGCGACACGGTGGGTAGAACCCAGGCGTGGAAGGCCCAGCGCGCCACTCCCAGCTCTGCTCTCTCCTGCGACACTGTGAGGTGGGCCTGGCCAGGAGGGCAGACCGAAGCCTGGGGAGGATTCAAAAGGTGGCCCGCGTGGCAGGAGCCCTGGGCTCTGGCACATACACGTCACAGCCTCCAGCACACCTGTGCGGAGGGCACACACAGAGCCCAGAGGGCGCCATCCTCGGTGTGTCGCAGCAGTTTTGTCTTCAGCGGGTGGAAAGAAGCCCAGGCAGCGGTTAGCGGGCAGGCTCCTCCCCCCAGCTCTGCACTGAACTTGCAGTGTGACCCCCAGCAAGACACTTGCCCTCTCTGGCGTGTCAGTCTCCTCAAATGTCAAACAGGGACTGGATTATACCAGGTGACTCCTTCCCGCAGGAACACGTCGGATTCTCAGAGTGGAGCAGCTTGCTGCCCCCTGCCCTGGGTGAGGCCTCCCTGGGAAGCCCAGAGAATCTAGCTACAGAGAAAGGTGCAGGGAAAAGCAGTAATGACATTCTTTTCCCAGCCCTACCTGCCCTAAACCCCCCGGGCTGGTGGAGTCACAGCCAGGGAGGCCCAAGTTGCAGCACATGGCTTTTCTTAAAGCCGTTTCAGCAGGACAGGTGCCCTGCCGGCGACCTACCTCCCCATCACCTCCCCATCACCTCCCCATCACGCTGAAAGTGCCAAGACTCTTCTCTGTCTCCCACCCCCAGCCCTAGCAGAGGGCCCAGCACACAGCAGGTCCTCACTAGGGGTTTGAGCTGAAATACCTTTCCTGGCAGATTGCAGGCCCCTCTGCCAGCCTGTGGCGGGAAGGGAGGGGTACAGGGTGGCCCCGGCAGGGAGAGTCCTGCAGGGACCTGTCTCGGGCAACACGTGACAGGTTAGGTCCCCAGGGGGCTCATGGCCCCTGTCACCTCCCCCTAGTCCCATGGGAGGGTCAGGGGAGGAGGGGTCGGTTCCTTTTGGGATCCCTGGGGCAGGGGTAGGACTCAGCCTCAAGCCACCAATTAGGGAATCCCCAAGCAGGGGAGCAACCAGGGGGTGCAGTGAATCAGGGGGCATGGGAAGTCCCGCTGCCCCCAGCTGGAGTGGTGCGCCCAGCCCTGGGCTTTCCCTCTTCCCCCAGCCATCTCTGCGGACATCCCTGGAGAGGCACCACCTGCTCTTTAGCCAGGGCCATCCTGTGGGAAGGGAGGCTCCAGGGGCGTCTACAAAGGAGCCTTAAGTGGCAGGACGGGATGCAAGCCCAGGTCTGTGTACGCCATGGCTCCCGGGGCCTCCACATCCACACGGCCTGCCCCACCCTGGAGCAGGGCTTGAGGAGCACTGCAGAGACTGTGTGGAAACCGAACATCCGGGAGCTGAAGGTGACGGGGCTGAGATCCCCAAGGCCCACCTCCCGCCTCACACTGTATCATGGGAGACTCCACAGCCAGGCTGCAGGGGTGCCCTGGTCCTCACTCTCGGAGGGACCTGGGGAGGGGCGGGCAGTGGCCCAGACCCACCCCCCTGCAGAGCCAGGCCCTGTGTAACCCCGAGGCAGCTGGGCTGCTCACCTGGCCTTTCGTTCCCCCTCCCCTGGGACACGGTGGTATGGAGCTCAGAGCCGAGAGCTCTGCGTCAGGTGACCTAGGTAGGTTCTGGTCTCTGACACTGACTGTCCTTTGAAATCACCAAGCCTCGCTTGCTCCGTCCTCTCCCTGGGATCTGGAACACCTGCCTGCCCGCCTCACAGGACTGACTACACAAGAGGCTGTGGTTGACTGTGGATTAGGTGCCAGGCACTTGGCTAAGCCCTTAATGAGTAGGATCTCCCTGAATCTTCACAGCAACCTGCCTGGGAGGAGGGTTTCATCGTCATTACCATCTTACAGATGAGAAGACTGAGGCCTGGAGAAGTGAAGCCACCTGTCCTGCCTCAAGGGACAAGGGCAGAAGGGGTAGATAAGAGGGGTTTGTATGTCATTAAATTCTATACAACTGTAAAACCAACTACTTAAAAAAACACATTCTGAATTCTCCTTTTCCCCTCTTTTCTGGTCTCCTTTCCCTCTCCCTTCTCCACTATTTCAACGGCCCCCGAGGGCACTGGGTGGCCGGGGTCACTTAGGACAAACGCAATGAGCCTCCCATTCTCCTCACAACGAGAGCTGCACCCAGCGGGGGAGGCTGAGAGCAGACACCCAGATCTTTCCAGGCACCAGGAGTGAGTCACGGCCAGCAGCACGCAAGAAAGGATGTGGCATTTCCCTCCTTGGGGCTTTCCTACATGGAGGCCGGGAGTGGAAGAGATGACCTCGGAAGCCTCCCCAGGCCCTGCCGTCCTGCCACGTGGCTGAGCTGCTGGCGGGAGAGGTGGCTGCAGAGATAGATCAGGATGGATTACCTTCTGCGTACTTGTCTCTAAGGTGGCCCAAGAGGGTCAAGACAGGTCAGCAAGGCGGGTGCCACATACGGATCTCCTGAACTGGCTGACCCATCCACCTCCTGTCACGCCCCTTGGGGTTCTGAGCACTGAGCTGGAGCTCCCCTGGGTCCCCACTGACCACTCACCAGGCGAGGATGTGTCAGGACGGCCACTGTGGGCCAGTCAGCTCAGCAAAGCCATGAGTCACAGGCTGGAGCGTGGCCAGGGTGGCTGCATGCTTACTAAAGCCTGGCAGTGGGACTCCGGGCTGGGCTGACTGCGGACAGCTGCCTCCAGCCCCGCCCCCAGGGCCCTGCTCCCGCCAGAGCCCTCCACCCGCCATGATCACAGTGTGCTGAGCTGGACGCGTGATGGAGACACAGGGAGGCACCTCTGGGGGCTGGGGGTTGGGATGGATGCCATTTGGTGCCAATCAAGGACCCAAACTCAACCTTTGAAGTATGGGATCTGGGGGTCCCTGGGTGATTTGGAGACTAGGCCAGAGCTTAGTCTAGGTCAGTGGTCAGCAAACTGCGGCTCGTGAGCCACATGCGGCTCTTTGGCCCCTTCAGTGTGGCTCTTCCACAAAATACCGACTTCTGCGCATGGGCCATGAAGTTTCAATCGCACTGTACGTGCGCGCCCGCACGTGGTATTTTGTGGAAGAGCCACACTCAAGGGGCCAAAGAGCCGCATGTGGCTCGCAAGCCATGGTTTGCCGACCACGGGTCTAGATTAAATTCCCCTGCGTATGACCAG